TTCTGAACTTTAATCCTCAACAAACAGCCAATCGGCGTTTGTAGGGTAATGGTTAGGCTCTTTTTAGCCTCATGCAGCAGACTCGAGTTCGATTCCCCAGTGGGGAGAATTTTTATTGAGTATCTCGGTCTTTCTTCAGGTATGTTGTACCCCTCTCAGTCTGAGCTGACCCTGACTAGCAGGATCGAAGCCTACCTCCTAAATGATCCTGATAATCATTTCGAAATTGCGTCAGTCGGGACGGAAAAATACCTACAGTGAAGAAATATAAAAAAACAGAGAATAGTGGAGTGGTACAAAATATGATAACCACTAATTAAAAGGCAGAAAAAAAACGATAGTGGAGAATCCGCCCGTCCCCCCCCGAGAATGGTGGAGTGATAGAAAACAAGATAATAACAATCAATTGAAAGGCAGAACAAAACAAAACTGGGCGTTTCTGGCCGTTACGTTGTTGTAAGGGCCCACTTCTTTGGACATCGTGAGTATCTTGACCTGACTCTGATAACCTTTGTTCCTGTTCATTGTGTGTCACGACAGGTACTACGATAGAAGCGCTGATAAAAGATTAGCCTAATCAACTACTTCACGTTCAAAGAAGTATGTATTTTGGGGTTACGTTACTAAGCCAGCTGAAATAGTAAGTGAAAATTAGTTCACTTATCGTCCGCCAGAAGTTAAAACGAATTAAAGCCAACATTTTGAAAATGTGTCTTATTGCAGTCTCTTAATCTTTGGTATGGCTTGCATGTCTTCAAAAATGATTTTGGGGACTCTTTATGTGTGCAAGTTGTGCTTGTTAAAGATCCCTTGGTGGTCCTAAAATCGATAACCGTAGGCTTTGGCCGCCACCCGGACGAAACTCAAAAGTAATCATTTATTTATACTAAACTGAAAGGGCTTAAGGTGCCCCGCGATCGCATATTATTATATGAACTTATGCCGTTGAAAACGCCATAAAACACTTGCCCCCCAAAAAGAGAGGGGGTGGGTATTTTGTCAAAACATCAATTTTTAAATGTTGAAAAAAAGCCAGAACAAATACACAATGTAATACTATAGTTGGAAGGATGAAACACCTTTTTCCCCTCTCGCCTATAAATATCTTGCTTTCTGGTCAGGGCTAAATATAATAATTTTAACAGCTTGCGGTGTTACACATTGTGGTGAAATTGAAAATTAAACGAGGAGACTAAACGAAAGTGTTTTAAATTTCTGTGTAGAAAACGAAATGATTGTTCCCTTTTCTGTAAAAAGAAAAAGACTCCATTCTTCTCTTTTTTTTCGTTGTTTTCGTAAGGGTTTTACAGCACCTGCTCCTCAATTATGTCATATAAGTGCCGAAGATTAGAGGTATAACAAGAGAGTATCAAACATAAAGAAGGAGGAGGAGAGATAAGGACGACAGCTGTTTGATAGGAAAAAAGGAACAAACCTTACCAGCACACCTGCCAACCACTCATCCTCCGTCCATGCGTCATATTTACCCACAGTGGCAGCTGCTTTAATTAATGAGTAAATAAATAAAACAATTATTGTTTATTAAAGAAAGAATGGTATTAAGATTGCTCTTAACAATCGTATTCACTCCCTCTTGATTCGCTGCTGCTTAGA